GAGATACAGCTCAGTTATATAGCAAACTTGGGTTCCATCTTCAGTACTTAAAAAAGGTAGAGGGGGTTGGGGCCAGGGACATGGCTCAATACAATAAGTGCTTGCCTGGCAAGCACTAAGGGCCTGAATTCAATCCCCAGTTCCACCAAAAAAAAAAAAAAAAAAGGGAGGGGGGGGCTGGGGAGATAGCTCAGTAGAATAAGTGCTTTTCTGGCAAGCACAAGGGCCTGAGTTCAATCCCTGGCTCCACAAAAGAAGGTGGAAGTAGGTGTGTAGCTCAGAAATAAAGAGTTTGGGGCCTGGAAGATGGCTCAGTAGAATAAGCACTTCCTTGGCAAGGGTCTGAGTTCAATCCCCGGTTCCGCAAAAAAAAAAAAAAAAAAAGAAAGAAATAAAAGAGTTTAGTTTGCCTGTTGGCATATACCATACACCATATTCAATCTCAGCACTATAAGCAAATACATCTTTTTCCTTCCATTTACTACACTTGTACCTTTTATAAGAACACAGACGGGGCTGGTGAGATGGCTCAGTGGTCTAAAGCACCTACTTAGAACAAGCTTAGCAAAGCACAGGGACCGCGGTTCAATCCCCCAGCACCACATGCCAGCCAGCCCCGCCCCCTGGTGGGCTGAGCTGCCCCCCCCCCATAAATAAATAAATAAATAAATAAAATTTAAAAAAAAAAGAACACAGATCTCAGGGTTAAAATGAACCATCATTCAAATTATTGATGTCGGGGCCGGGGAGATGGCTTAGTGGAATAAGCGCTTCCCTGGCAAGCGCAAGGGCCTGAGTTCAATCCCCGGTTCCGCAAAAAAAAAAAAAAAAAAAAAAATTACTGATGTCACCTGCAAAATATCAGTCTTGAGGGGCCAGGGAAATGGCTTAGTGGAATAAGCGCTTCCCTGGCAAGCGCAAGGGCCTGAGTTCAATCCCCGGTTCCGCAAAAAAAAAAAAAAAATACCAGTCTTAAACAAAACGATTTTTTTTTTTTTTTGGTTGGTTGGTTTTTGAGACAGGGTCTTGCTATGTAGTACAGGTTGGCCTTGAACTCACTAGGTAACCCAGGCTAGCCTCAAATTTACAACAATCCTTCTGCCTCAGTCTCTGAAAGTGCTGGGATTAGAGGAATGTGCCACCATGCTCAGCTGGCTCATGTTTCTAATGAAAAGCTTGTTGTAGTAAATGCAATTCATCACCCATGAAAATAGGCTCAATTTCAACAAAAATACTGCCATGACTCATGTTATTGCTAAGATGTTTGGTGGTCTTGCCTCCTTAAATCTGCCATTAAATACTTTCCCATTCTTGTCTTCCAGAAAGTCAGATTCATCCTTCATTATCAGTTCTTAAAATCTTCAAAGGACTCATTAAAATGAAACCTTTTCTAATCTTCCATTTGTGAATTATAGTCTAACAAATATTCTACAAATTGTTCCTTTCCTTTTTTTAAAATGTACTTTGATACAGGGTCTCACTACGCAGCTAAGACTTGTGGTGATCTTGTCTCAGTCTCCCCCAGTACTAGGATTATAGGCATATGTGACCACACCTGCTCTCAGTGGCTGTCTCATCATGCCTGAGGGCAGGGGCTGTTTGGCATGTGATACCAGGGATTGAACCCTAGAGTCCTTGCACTTGCCTAAGCAGGCACTTAGTCCACTGAGCTATCTTGCTAGCCTTCTTATTTAATTCCTTTTCATTTTATAAGATAAAATACATTGTTCTTTTTATTTGATAATTAAAAATTTTTAAAGGGACCAAGGAGATAGTTCAGTAAAAAGCATCTACTTAGGCAAGCTTAGAGAGGCGCAGGGAACCTCAGTTCGATCCCCAACACCACCTGCTATGGCAGCCCTGCCCTAGCGTGGGCTGAGCTGGCCCCCTCAAAAAAATCTTAAAAAGAAACCCTTTCCAAAAAGTAATTTGAACCCTGGATTTGAAACATTAGCCATTGAATCTAACTATAAAAGACATTTGAAGGGCCAGGGAGATGGCTCAGTAGGATAAGCGCTTGACTGGCAAATGCAAGGATGAGTTCACCAGTTCCACAAAAAAAAAAAAAAATGACATTTGGAGCCGGGCATGGTGGTGCAGGTCCATAATCCAGTATCTTGGGAGGCTGAGGCAGGACTGTAATATCAAACTCAACCTAGACAATTTAGCAATTTAGATTTTGCCTCAAAATAAAAACTAAAGGGCCGGGGAGATGGCTCAGTGGAATAAGTGCTTCCCTGGCAAGTGCAAGGGCCTGAGTTCAATCCCCGGTTCTACAAAAAAAAAAAAAGTTTCTCTGTTTTGGGCTGGTGAGATGGCTCAGTGGTCTAAAGTACCTACTTAGAACAAGCTTAGCAAAGCACAGGGACCACGGTTCGATCCCCCAGCACCACATGCCAGCCAGCCGCGCCCCCTGGTGGGCTGAGCTGGCCACACACACACACA